GACTATTATGGAGATTGATTTTGGAATTTAGATGCACTGTTATCAATTGTGTTTAGCCGCACATGTTCATATCCTTGAAGATGTATCATGGAAGTGATGCAGCCTAGAAGACACAAATTTAACTAACAACTTAAAAGTACATGAGTCAAAAATTAAAAAGCAATAATATTCCGAGTAGAGATTCTAATAGTGGCACAAGTCAAGTTACAGAGGGAAGGTGGGTGGCCTAGTGCCTAACTTAGCTGGCTGTTAACTAAAGCTTGGCAGTTCAAATCCACCAGATGCTCTATAGGAGAAAGATAAGCAGCTCCTCCCATTCAAAATTTGTGATTGTTGTTATTGTTATGTGCCTTAGAGTTAAAACTTACTCTGAGTTGACTCTCTAGGGGGTTTTCATAGGCTGTAAATCAAACAGGAGGAGATTGTCCCTCTTTGTCTTCTGAAGTGGCTGGAAGATTAGGACCACGTTCTTTTGGACTGACAGTACAATTCTTTATCACCAAGCCTCCAGAGCTCTTCTCTGAAACCTGATAGAGAGTCTCTGTGAGCTGGATTTGAAACCTACTAACTCTACAGCAGTGGATAAAAATTAAAGTACATTTTACTTCTCTGATTTTTCTAACTCTTGTGCCCTGCCCACCTTACCTTTCGGCAGTGAGACTCCAGGTTCCCCGAAAATGCGGCTCCTGTCTCTTAGTTCTTATGTAGATTCTATAGTATTTAAAATGTTATGGAACTTTGGTTTTCAATAAATGCCTACTGATGGATACACTGCAGAGACCTACGGTTGGAGGAATTGATCCATACATCCTGGGATCTTTTTAGCCTTAAGCTACACATAATAGTCAGCTTTTCAAAAGGAGTATTATTGATAATTTCTCCTCCCCCTTCACACAAATTATGATTTCAACAAATACACATTTATTTGATCGATGTCTGGAGACAGAATGAAGAATTAACTCCCTTAGAAAGACATGTGCACTATTATATGTTTCCTGACAGATTTAGGTTGGGGAAAACATTATATCATCTACTGGAAATCCCTAAGCAAAAAGCAATATTCTACGCTACAGTGGAGTTGGGTGGCATATAAATAAGTTAGAATTCTTGTCACTGTGCATTATAATGGCTGCCTAGTCTGTCTCAATTCACCACGATATCCATTCTAACCCTGTGTTTACTCTTTTCACTAAGAAAGAGAATAGGTTTAATCCAGACCTCATCTTCTGTGACTCTTGCAGTCTTGTTGATTTCCACGTTCTGAGAGATATTTTGATTGAGCAAAGTTATTTTGGAAAAAGAAGTGCTTGGACAAGAACATTTCCATACCTTGCCCTCATTTACTTAAAGAATTGCCATCATGGCAATTTTGACTCATCTTGCTGTTGTTGTTAGGAGCATTTAGTCAACCACAACTCTTAGCAACTTTGTGCACCTTGCCTTATCCTGTGCCATTGCCATCCTCTTCACCATGCTCAAGCCTGTTGTCCCTACCACTGTGTCAATCCAGCTTCCACCCCTAGCAAGCTCATCGGCAGAGTGGAACTATCCTGTAGGACTTCCTTGACTGTAGTCTTTTCAGGAGCTCCTCACCAGGCTTTTCCTCCTCAGAGTGACTGGTGAGGTCAAACTCTCAATCTTTCCTCTCGCAGCTGTATATTACTCCCTTGTACCACCAGAGATCCTTATGATTAAGAATGAAGAGCAACTCAACTGTGATTTTCAAAGACAGGAATTGCAGGTTAAATGTGAGTGAAGAGGGATGATGGCTGTAAGGATCAGGTGCTTTATCCCCCCTCATTCCCTGAGTTATCCTGAAACCTGAATAAAAAGCTGGGTGAAAACAGGGAGGACCGTGGCTTGATTGACACTCAACTTCTACCACTATTTCCAAGAGGCTCATAATACTATGTGAATTGAATTGTAGAATTGTATAGCCAGTTCCATTCCTTGTCATGAATGTGCAAGTTGAGATTTGTAAGCGATTACAACTGAGAAAATTTTATGGGGAAGCTCTCCTCTATCACGTAGGGTCACTATGAATCCAAATAGATTCAATGGTATCTTACAGCAGCAGCAACAAGAAGTACTCCCCCTTCCCCCCCCAAAAAAAAAAGATTAGGTATTATTGTCATGACATGAGTCCAGAACAAAGGCTGCATAGTGGAGTGGACTTGTTTTTATTATTATTAATTTTAATGAAAATATACAGACATTTTGGATTTCCATTCATTCATTGTTGCACTTATCTCCCTGTCCACCCCTCCCCTCCAGGTCCTTCTTCTCTTTGAAAAGTAAAAGTTTTTCATTGTTATACAACAATGAAAGCAAGAACATAGCATTGAGGAAGTGATGAGTTGCAGAGAAAGAAACTTGAAAGAGGAAGTACCTGAACTAAGAAGAAATAGCAATGAACTAGGTGAATGAGGGTGTTAGTAGGAGTTGTTGACAAAGAGCTATATATTCTCTGCAGAAAAAATTGTTGCTCAAATGCTCAAAGCTTTGAAATAATCTGGGGTGCTGCATATGCTGGTTCTGCATATTTTGGAGATTGAGTACAAAGTATAAAGTGGGCGTTAAGGTCAAGAGGTAATCAAAGAGGGGACAGGTCCACCGTGGTCATCCTTCTAAGGGACTGAGTTTGACTACAGAACTCAACATTGAATTGAATGGAGTCACATACATTATTATATTTTTGACTACAAGTAAACATGATGCACTGATTCTTTAGCTGTTGAGTCACTGTAGACAAAGGAAGAGGGGAATGCATCCACTTCTTAGGAAAACATCTCTTTTGGATTGTTATGGAGGATATTTTAACTCTTCTACTTACAATGCTTTCTATTAACAGATAAAAGAGAAATCCAAATAAAATTATTCCCAAAAAAATAGTATTTCTCCCTCTTATTTGATATTTGTTGAGTGTGTTGTGTACCAATGAGTAGCATCCAACCCATAGCTAACCCTCCAGCAAGTTTTCAGAGACAGTTAATCGCACAGGAGGAGATTGCCCGTCCATGAGTAAAATAACACAAACAGAAGGCATTTTAATATTTTATTGGTTTTATGTAGGTGGTAGGTACAACAAAAGAATGACCAAAAGAATGGAAAGAATTTGTTCAAAGATAATATTCATCAAGCAACATAACTTGAACAGACCTGATTTAGTTGATGTCATTTAGTTTCAGGACCTAGAATGTGGAACTGCTAGTGGATTAGAACTCCATAATTTCAACTCCTGTATGGTATTTATCCTCTCTAAATTTGGCAATCATACCTTATGGCCTATAAACACTCAATAAAGACAAATGAATACTGGATTATGACTCATATTATTAGGGGTAGGTGAAATTTTTTTCTTGAAAAGTACCTCAAGAAAGAAAACATCAGTTTCTAAGATAACTAACTAGAAATTCATATCTGGCAAGGTTTAAATTAGGTTTAAACTTTGTCCTAACCAGTGTCTAATTGAACTTTAAGAAGCTCAGTGATTTAAAAAAAAATTTTTTTTTGTTAGCCGGCACCACATATTTACTAGAGTAGCGTATGCAAATATATTTGATTACTCTTCACTTAAAATCTCTTACTTGCCATATGAAAGTATTCAAACTATCATTGTTTTGGAAAATAATAATTCTTCTTCTCCATGAGATTTAGTTGATGATCCCTTCCCAGTGCTAAGCAGCAGTGAATGCATGTTTGTAAGTGAAGCTGAGCTCAAATAATTGGTCCAAGTGCTTCACGCTAGCTCACCATCTATCATGTGATGGGGGAATCTTTGAAGATGGTACATGCGAATAACTTGAGAAAATGTAAAACTCTTGAAAAACAATCCCTTAATACATTTTATGTAGTCTTTTACTCTTTCTTCTGTCCCTTGAGTATCTATCTATTTGCAATTTCCTTTCCTGCAATTTACAACCTTAGAAACCCAAGAGAGGGTCAGCTATGAATTAGTTTTATCTCAGTGGCAATCAGCATATACGTACATCTCAGTTTTGGGAAACTTGTTCCCTTCATGGACATAGTGCAAGGGACCACCTTAAAGGATTTTAAGCGTTCTAGTGTGAGAGACAAGAGACTCCAGTTTTAATTTTTTCCAAAAATTATATTGGTAAAATGTATAAAACAAGTCTTTAAATTTATTTATTACTTAAATTTGTCTTTACAAAGACTATTTGGTCTATTGGTTGGTTGTGACTAAAAAACTCATATGTTGTTGTATGTTGTCAAGTAAGAACCAACTCATAGTTGACCCTCCAGCAGGTTTTCAGAGGCAGTACATTGCACAGGAGAAGACAGTTTCTTCTTACCTCTATCCACCAAGGGTAAGGAATTGAGCTGCCATTGCAAATATAGATTGTTCAAATTCACTAGCTGCCCTATGGGAGAAATATGGGCAATCCCCTCGCATGCAATTTAATGTCTCTGAAAACCCAGTGGAGGGTCAGCTATGAGTCAGTCCTGACTTGATAGTACTTAACAACAACAATTAAAAAACTCATATAAGGGATAGAAATGCATCATGCTTATTTCACCAACTCTGTGTTTTAGGCTATTTCACTGATTCTGTGAAAAACATCTAAAATAAAAACTCTCAAGATACCCTTCAGCAAAATGTTTTCAAGACATGTAAGTTCTACAATGACTGTACTTAGCATTGTATTGTATCCACTTATTTCTGGCACTTAAATCATATGAGTAAAAGAAGCATAGACACTTCAGCAAACAAAAGCAGAAATAACATTTTTTTTATGATTCTATGATTCTTTAAAATAGCTTTTAAAAGTTGATATACTTGGCTTTCAAAAGCATTTGTGGAACTAATCAAATAGCCTTCTAAGAAAAGACTTCTTGGCAGGAGTCAACGTTTTCCCAGAGCCCTTTTTGCGGAGAGATTTCAATGAGGGATTCTTTAAAGGTATGGTTCTTTTGGGAGTTTGTAGTGATCTTGCTATTGCTACGTGCTGATTGCAGTAGTACTTGTTGCTACCTTCAGACAGTTGAATAAGTGTGCGTTCCGCAAGATCCATGCACTGGGCATGGACCCAGTGCCCGTCATCATGGGAGCAGTAGATCATGGCTGGTTTGTTAAGCTCAGTTGAATAGAACGGCACCCAAGTGTTGATATCTACATCACAGGTACGGCAGCATGTAATCCAGTAACCTGTCTCAGACTCATCTTCCTCATCATCTTCATTGTAGGTGTCAAATTCATCATCACCATCAAAACTGTTTGCTTCTGCACTGAAACAAAATTCTTCTGAGTCTTCAAAGGGCGTAGAGTCCCCTGGGTCTTCTGTAGACGGCTGGCTGTTTGTGAATGTCTTCTGATTGTCAATCAACTCATCTTCAATACATTTCAACATATAGAAATAGAATGCTTCTGAAACAACTTGTTTATTGTCTCCTGGTATCCCAAGGAAAACCGTCCCATTTCCCATGTTGCCTCCAAACCATAGCTTACTGTGCTTAATATCAGGGGTCCAATCTGGGGTCTCCATTTCACGGATTTCAATCTTGTTGTTCTCGAAAGAGACAATGTTACACACCATCCTTTTTTGATTCTCCAATTGATAGCCACCAACGACAACAAATTCATCACTGCCAGTTTGAGTCAAGATTGCACTAGACACAGAGATTCCTCCTGGCAAGACCGTACAGCTCACAGCAGGGCTCCCCAGGGGGAGATCAACTCTGATCCTGTACAGATTGGCAGGGCGGATGTTATTGGCAAGTGAATGACCTCCTAAAATATAAACCGTATCATTTCTGGCAATAGAGACATGGAAAGATAGCCCATCCTGAAGTTCTGGAAGAATGTATGATGTAGAGCATCCAAATTCAAAATCTACCAAGAAAATGTTGGGGAGGCAGTCAATTACACTATTCCATTTTTCTGTGGTTCTTTGGGCAAGAGGTATATATGAACGTCCACCAAAGAGAACACCCATACTTTTCCCTCGGCTATACACCACATCAATGGAATGGCCATACCTGGCTTCAGGGACATCTCCCACCAAATCTTTCTCTGTGCATTGAAAAGTGACTTTTTTGTTGTTCTTGCAAATGGCCGCCATGACGTAAATCTTATCGGAAAGCTCATTGTTTGGTGTTTTCCCTCCATGGATAATATACTGATGTTTTTTGGATTCAGAGCTGCCTTTCAATGTGCAAGTGGCTGGATAACGAAGAGGAGGAAGGTAGCAGGAATCCTTAGAGAAAAGGGCGGGTTTTAGTTTGAGCTGGTTATGCTTCATATCAAAATGGAAAACTCCAGTCGGGCAAGATCTCTTCGGCCAGCCTTTTTGGCCAAAGAAGAAAACTTGTCCATCAAAATGCATCAGTGAGAAGCCTGGTTGAAGTAAGGCTATGTTGTTACTGACAGTTACCATCTGCAGTGACATGCTTTCTGTTGATGGGTTGATCTTTTATCTGAAAGAGAAAAGTAAATTGATTTACTGTATGTTGTCATAGAAATGATGTGTGCTTATTATATATTAAAATTTTCTTCCATAAACTTGTAGTGTAACAGTGCTTGGACAGGTTTGTTCTGTATTACCTGGGGTGGAATACCGAGAATTGCATCTCCAACCCAGATCTATCATTTTAGCTTGATCCTCTGTGTCTGGGTATAGTGTTAAAAAAGTAGATTCAGACTGCAAACATTTGGAGTTGTTGAGGGAGTGGAAATTCACAAGAAGGTTCCTTCCTCTTCCAAACCTTTCAGTGAGATGGAATTAACAGAATCACAGGGAAGGAACGAACTACTGTGGGATAGTGCTTTAAGTGCTGCACCACTAACCGAAAGCGCTGCGATTTTAATTCACCAGTTGATTCAAGAAAGAATAAATCTCCTCTCTTCGTGCCAAGATTACATAATTGAAAACTAATGGAGGAACATGGTGAGTTGGAATCAATTCAATAGCAGTGACTAGTACGCAAAGTACCACAGAACCTTCCTGCCTAGTGTCAACCAAGCAGTGGGAGATATTTTAGATACGTACTAACACCCCCGCTCAGATTTCTGGGAATTGTAGTCCTATTTTAAGCTTAAAACTTTACTACTCAGAACTGAAAGAACTACATTTCCCAAGAACCAGTACACTATGGAGTGTCTGGCTGTGACTGTGTTCCTCGCTCCAGGAGACTATTTTAGCGTGGCTTTAAAGGCGTGAGAAGCGCGAAGTGACTAAAGGCGGAAAACTAGGGGATGGGAGGTGAGAGTTACTGATAAAGATCCGGTTTCTGAATTTCTGGAAGGCTAAGGCAGCTGGGCGAGTGTCAAGCAAACTCTTGCCCGGGTGCTGCTAGAGTCTCTCCCGATCACTCAAGAAAGTGACCAAAGGAAGAACGGCTGCTCCTGGGGTGGGGGAGTGTAGTTGCCTGGAAACCGCAGGCTGCAGGGCTGTGCAGAGATGCCGTTACTGCCTTCTGCCTGGACCACGGGGGCTTGACCACTGCATTGAGTCCAACGGTCCTTAGGTTGTTTTAGAGCAAGGAAGCAAAGGACCGAAGTTAAACAGGGCCAAAAAATGCCCGAGTCTCATGAGTGATGGGGGAAGGACCTGATAGTAATTTTTATCACTAATCTTAGTTGGAAAGTAATCCTAGTGCGGATTGGCTCCTATGCTGGGCTGCTCATGGAAAGGTGAGCGCTTGTAGTGCACCAGACCCTCTGTAGGAGAGTTAAAAATGTACAACTTTGAAAGCCGGATGTATAATTCAGAATGAACTGGAGGCAGGGTTTGGTTTTGGTGTTTTTTTTGTTTTGTTTTGCTTTTTAAAATTTTATAATATGTGTGTTTGAAGTTGCTTGCCCACCTGCAACCCACCCCCACCCCATCTTGGTCCCAAATCTTAGTTGGAATCTATCAGACAGCAACCAAGAATAATACTCTTAGTTCTGGGATTGCTGTAGATTTCAGTGAGTACCGCTTTAAAGACATTTTGCTTTTTTACTTTCTTTAAGAGCAACAGTGAGAGGTTTGATACATCTGTTTTCTTGGTGGGAACGTTGACCTAAATAATTGTTGTGTTCCATCGAGTCGGACGCGACCCATAGCTGACCCTCCAGCGGGTGTCCAGAGGCAGTTAATCACATGGGAGGAGAGTGCTTATCTTTCTTCAGCGGTAAACTGGTGAAGAGGTGCCAACACTAAAGCTGAATGTTTGAATTCTAACATTTTGTAAAATAATTTACCAAGTGAAGTAAACTTGGTAAATTATTATTATTATTTCCTACCTTAGATGTCGGGACTTAATGTGATCTGCATTTCCTATTTGAAGAGTGAAATTTTAGGCACTATCATAGGGAAAAAAAATAATTTCCTAAAAAGCTGAAATACAGTGAAATACAGTGGCATAGTGCGTATGTATGGAGCTGCTTACCACAAGGTTAGGGGTTTGAATCCACAAGCTGCTCACAGAAAAATAAGCAGTTTTCTTCAGTGAAGATTATCAGTCTCAGAACGCTAGTGGTTGGTCACTGTGAGTTGAAATCCCTTGATGGCAGGTTTTTGCTGTTGTTGTTGTTTTTTTCTTGTTTTGTACTGTCAAGTCGGATCCGACTGGCACTGGAAAAGATTGCTCCTCCTTCTCCAACAGAACATCAGGTGGATTTGAACTGAGCACCTTCGGGATTGCAGCACAGCTTCTTGCCACTAGGTAGTGTTTTTGGTTTTGTAGTGATTCGTTTGCTTGTTTTGTTTTGTAAGAGCACAGACTCTGAAGTTTGCCTGGCTGGATATCAATCCTGTCTCTATCACTTTTTTAACTACATGACTCTTTAGCAAATTAGTTAGACTTTCAGTGTGTGCCTCAGTTTCCCCTTTTGTAGTGTGAAAGTTATGGTTAGTAAATGAATATATGTGAAGAGTTAGAAGTATGCCTTGGAAGCTTAGTGGTAACAACCGGAAGACAAGAAGTGTGAATCCACCAGCTGCTCTGTGGGAGAAAGATGGGCAGTCTCCTCCTATGAGATTTACTGTCTCTGAAAACTGCTGGAAGGTCAGCTGTGTGTCAGTTCTGACTCAGTGGTACACCATCACTGTGACAATGTAGCACTTGGAAGAGGCCTTTGCACAGAGTTGTGGTTGTTAGGTACCCTGAGGTTAGAACCCTGGGTCATAGCTGACCTTCAGTTGGTTTTCAGAGGCAGTTAATTATATGGGAGGAGATTGCCCATTTTTCTTCTGCAGAGCAGCTGGTGAATTAGAATGACATGCCTTTGGGTTGACAGTGTAGCTCCTTACCTCTAGGCCACCAAAGTAGATGTTAGCTATTGTTTTTATACCTAATTTTAGCAATAATGAGGGTTTTACTATCACCTATCGAAAATGTGATGTTGAAAATAATTAGGAAGGTCTTTAGGATTTGGAGAACTGCTCAGATTCTGGACTAATATTTTGGATTACCAAATCCAAAAGAAATATATGTGATGAGGGCTCTCGTGGCAAGTTAAATAACGAGGGATAATTTCACTCTTCTTACCTCTTCTTTTTCTAGTCCTTCATTAAATGTGTCGTCTCTGAGTTTGGATTATCTGAGTTCAGTAACCTTGGACACATTTTGTTGCTTTCTATTTGAAAAATGGGTATAATATTAGTAACTCTTTATTGGGTTGTCAAGAGCATAAATGAAATAAAGTAAATAAAAATCAGTTGCCCTTTAGTTGACGCCAGCCTACACTGACTCCTTGTTTGTGTTCATGGTCATACGTATCCACTCGTGACATTACGCAAGTAGACTGCCAGGTCTCTCTATTGAGGCACCTCTGAGTAGATTCAGGACCTCCAGCTTTTCCATCAGCAGCCAAACTCACTGACTACTTATACTAAGTTGTTATATTCCGCCAAGTTGACTGCGACTCATAGTGACCCCTATGTACAACAACTCTGAACCCTATCCTATCCTGAGCCAATCTCACTGACTCTGCCACACCTACCCCATTATTCAAGTTACTGTGTCAATCCCGTCTCATTCAGCGTCTCCCTCTCCTGCGCTGTCCCTCCACCCTTCCAAGCATGATGTCCTTCGCAGAGGACTGGTCCCTCCTAGCAGCATGTCCAGAGTATGTGAGCTGGAGTTTCAAAATCCTTGCCTCCAAGGAGAAATTTGGTTTTACTCTCTCCAGGACAGACTTGTTTGTTCTTCTGACAGTTCATGCTCTTGATATGTTCAGTGTTTGGTATGTTCAGGGCTCTTCTCCACAACACAAAGGCATTTATTCTTCTCGTCATTGTCCTGCTCTCTGATGCATAGCAAGTAATTGTGAAGACCATGGCGTGGGACAAATGTGCCTTAGTCTCTAGACCAACATCCGCTATGGACAGGTCCCTGATAGTGGATTTTCCCATTGCAATTTGTCTTTTGATTTGCTGATTGCTGGTGACAAGAGGGTTGATTGTGGACCCAAGCAAGATGAAATTATTAAAAATCTCAGTCTCTGTCTGTCATGGTGCTGCCAGTTGGCCCAGTGGTGAGACTCTTGTTTTTTTGATGTTGAACTTCAATCCATGCTGACTCCAGCAAACACTTCAGGCTGTCCTCAGTTTTGGCAAGCATAATGCAGATTTTTGATGAAATCTTCCTTGAATCCTGACATGACATTCCTCCTCATAAAGTCTAGTCTTTCAAATGATCTCTTCTGCATACAGGTTGAGAAAGAATGGAGACCGGACACATCCCTAACGTACTTTTTACACCAGATAGGGACTCCATAAGTGAGATAATGGATATGAAATGCTAGTTTACTGCCTGACAAAAGATAAGTACTTAATGTTAATACTTACTTGCTTGATAAACACAGAGACACTGAAAAAGAGGAAGTCGTTCAATGAGATGGATTGACACAGTGACTGTAGCAGTGGGCTGAAGCCCAATATGATGATGGCACTGGCCCAGGACCAGGCATGCATTATTCTTTCTCTTGTGTGTAAAGTTGTTGCAAGTTGGAGCCGACTCGACTCACCTAACAATAATGACAATGTCAACTGAGGGACTTATTTCTTTTTATTCCCCTGTTAAGGTTCCTTGACCATTTCGAATCTGTCATGCCAATGAGATGTTGGTGGATGGTTTTTTTTTTTTTCTTTTCTGTGAAGCACTTCTGTAGATTAGATGAGATTTGCTAAATATGGATAAATTGCTAAATAATAAAATTTATTTACATATAGAGAAATTTAAAATATAATAATGAAGTATTAGAAGGTATGCAAATAAAGGTTTGAGTAATTGGATAAATTGCTAATTTAATAATCTTTGTGAAATAATAATTTGACTAAATTTCTAAATGTGCATTTATTGCTAAATATGGATAGAGACTTTTTAATGTACTTCACATCGTTTGAGATGGGAACTTTCTCAAGGTGTGATCTTTTAGTACTTGTAAATGATATTAAACTAA